ATCCCAGCCCTGGGCCCCATAGCGGCCACATTGGCTATTGCTGCACCACTGCTCCACAGGGTTCCCCTAGGGGTATTGTTGACATTCTGGGAGCTGCTGAAACCTCTATGTAACAAGCGTGGATCACCTGACTACATGACATACCTGGAATAACTCACATATTTCTCCTAATTTGACCAGCATGCACCGTGAAGCAGAAATTCTGCAAGGCGAGGGTATATCCCAGCACCTGCAGCTCCCATCCTCGGCCTAGTGAAAGCCACTTTTGCATTTTGTGAAGTGTATATATATCAAGCCTTGCTTTAGATAGAGTGGGTGCATATAAGTCCTGGATCCCATGGGGATAATTATCTCACTTCCTGTTTCCATAGACACACCAGGAAGTGAGAGAACATCTCTCCAAAGTGACAAGAACAAGTGTCCTCATTTGCTACCATCCCCTTTATTCTTGCTCCGGTGGGAGGTCTAAAATTTGGGATTTTTGTTGACTTTCAGAGCCGGCTTCACACCATTCTTATCTTAGAATACTGCGGTGCCTTGTGTTTTGAATGCCACGCAACGCACTAAAAATGCAACTCTGATGCACCGCACCCCAAAACATGATAGCTTCTTGTCTTGTGGTGTGCTGCTGTGGGATACATCGTGCAGCTTTAAAGGGACACTAAACTCCGGGGTTAAATCTTAAAGATACATTCAAGTCCCTGAACTCTGAACTCTGAGGAACAATGTATCTTATTTGTGTATCACTCGGCTGTAGATCCTCCAATCATCTCTGACACTGTCCTTCCTTCTGGAGGGGGGCTACGTCTGTTCCCCATGGTCCCTGTGTGTGTTATAACGTAGTCACCGCTCCAAGCTCCCCCCCCGGGATGGACTACAATCTCATGTTTAGTTTACCAATTTGTATTGAGATTGTCGTCCATCCCGGGAGCGAGCTTGGAGCGGTGACTACTACTTTACAACACACACAGGGACCATGGGGAACAGACGTAGCCCCCCTCCAGAAGGAAGGACAGTGTCAGAGATGATTGGAGGATCTACAGCCGAGTGATACACAAATAAGATACATTGTTGTTCAGGGACTTGAATGTATCTTTAAGCTTTAACTCCGGAGTTTAGTGTCACTTCAATCATACTTTCAGTTTCATCCTTCAGTGTTGTCACCTTCCTTACATAAGACCGGTGCGCTTTAAAGGGTACCTGTCATGAGGAATTATGTAAGCCGCCACAATTGACACACCAGTTCCCCGGCTACCATGCTGAACAAGATTTTGGAGGGTGTCTGTGGGAATTGTCACATTTGTGAGGTCCGGTACTGATGTTGGATGAGAAGACCCGGCTCACCATCAGTGTTCACATTCATCCCAAAGGTGTCCAGTAGGGTTGAGGTCGGGGCTCTGTGCAGGAGACTCAAGTTCCTCCACACCAAGCTGGTCACACCGTGTCTTTATGGAGCTGGCATTGTACACGGGGGACAGTCATGGAGCAGAAAAGGGTCTTCACCAAACTGTGACCACAAGCTTAGAAGAGCACAATTATCTACAATGTCTTTGTATGATGTAGAATTAATAGAACCTTCACTGGAGCCACCTGACCTCCATCATTTGAAGGGGTTACCACATACTTTTGGCCATTTAGTATACACAGTATGTCTTGTGGTTTAGTCAAACATGTTCAGCCGGTGTCAGACAGGTGGCGCTCTTTGCTCATCTCAGCCCTCTGCTCTCTCGCCTCTACCCAGCCAGAAGGTACCTGGGATTTGGGCCTCTGGCACTGCCAATGAAACAAAACAAGAACAGCAATAAAAAAACTGTTATTAGAGAAGGATTAGAACTCTGAAGGGAACAATAACAGCAGCAGATAAAGCCGATAATGGCACCATTGTCATTACCAATAATAACATACATGATCTGCTGGGTACACTCTGCATCTGATATATGTCGGCTCGATGGCCAACTATAATATTATTTGTTTAAATTGGTGTCACATGCATCAAAAGTAATTAAATCGGTGAATTGGGAGAAAAGCAGGCTCGCATAATGACATATTGTTAGCTAAAGGCCGGAGCCTCCGTGACAAAACAATTTAGAACAAAAACTTTTTCCCACACTTCAGGGTTGGCTGGCGTTGGCCAAAGGGCACCGGGGTGAGAGGCTAAGGCCTACAAGTGTCCAGGAGCAAGGGATTATGGGTAAGAAGGCCGAGATGCTTCTCAGGGCACCGGGGTGAGAGGCTAAGGCCTACAAGTGTCCAGGAGCAAGGGATTATGGGTAAGAAGGCCGAGATGCTTCTCAGGGCACCGGGGTGAGAGGCTAAGGCCTACAAGTGTCCAGGAGCAAGGGATTATGGGTAAGAAGGCCGAGATGCTTCTCAGGGCACCGGGGTGAGAGGCTAAGGCCTACAAGTGTCCAGGAGCAAGGGATTATGGGTAAGAAGGCCGAGATGCTTCTCAGGGCACCGGGGTGAGAGGCTAAGGCCTACAAGTGTCCAGGAGCAAGGGATTATGGGTAAGAAGGCCGAGATGCTTCTCAGGGCACCGGGGTGAGAGGCTAAGGCCTACAAGTGTCCAGGAGCAAGGGATTATGGGTAAGAAGGCCGAGATGCTTCTCAGGGCACCGGGGTGAGAGGCTAAGGCCTACAAGTGTCCAGGAGCAAGGGATTATGGGTAAGAAGGCCGAGATGCTTCATCCTCTTGCAGGATGGTCATAGATATTACTCCCATTTCAGTTTTTTGTCACCGATTCAGTGCCAAGTCACCTTCACCCAAATACCGGCCTAGGGGTAACTCTCCGCTGCCACCTGTGCCCCGTTCTCCCAGAATTGGCAGACGAGAAGTTAAAACTTGATGGAACTTTCCATTAAAATCAGCTAGCTTATGTTTCAGGTCTTACAGTTTGTCTACTTTGGAAAGCAGTCACAGGATGTGCAGAAAAGTCTGTCCCCTGCCAGCATGCTCCAGAGAAGGACCCTTGCTAGTTACATGGAAGCAGTGGCCTCTCTGCAGAGTTCTGACACGCCTCCTGCTTAGTCGCAGCTGTAGCTCTCCAATCAGTAGGCAGCATGAGCTTGACAGGATGTGCGGTGGACCACAGCAGAGAGACCACTGCTTCCACACAGAGAGCAAGGTTTTTCCTCTGCAGCATGCTGGCATGGGACAGGCTTTTCTGCTCAGGTTGTGGCTGATTTAATGATGAGAGGGGAGAGCAAAGGAGAGAAGTGATAGAGGGATGATGAGAGGGGAGTGGAGAAGTGATAGAGAGATGGTGAGAGGGGAGAGAAGAGGAGAGAGATGATAGAAGGGTGATGAGAGGTGATGGAGGGATGATGAGAGTGGAGAGAAAAGAAGTGATATAGGAATGACAGGAGGGGAGAGAAGAGGAGAGAGGTGACAGAAGGATGATGAGAGGTGATGGAGGGATGATGAGAGTGGAGAGAAAAGAAGTGATATAGGAATGACAGGAGGGGAGAGAAGAGGAGAGAGGTGACAGAAGGATGATGAGAGGTGATGGAGGGATGATGAGAGGAGAGAGGTGATGGAGGGATGATAGGAGGGGAGAGAAGAGGAGAGAGGTGACAGAAGGATGATGAGAGGTGATGGAGGGATGCTGAGAGGGGAGAGAAGAGGAGAGAGGTGACAGAAGGATGATGAGAGGTGATGGAGGGATGATGAGAGGGGAGAGAAGAGGAGAGAGGTGACAGAAGGATGATGAGAGGTGATGGAGGGATGATGAGAGGAGAGAGGTGATGGAGGGATGATAGGAGGGGAGAGAAGAGGAAAGAGGTGATAGAGGGATGATGAGAGGTGATGGAGGGATGATGAGAGGAGAGAGGTGATGGAGGGATGATAGGAGGGGAGAGAAGAGGAAAGAGGTGATAGAGGGATGATGAGAGGTGATGGAGGGATGATGAGAGGAGAGCGGTGATGGAGGGATGATAGGAGGGGAGAGAAGAGGAGAGAGGTGATGGAGGGATGATGAGGGGAGAGGAAGAATGAACTTGGATGTATGACATGTTTTCTGAGAGTTGTCTCCTTCAGTCAGGCGGTAGAATAATCAGATCAGTTGCTGTGTGTGTGGGGTGGATGAGGTCGGTCGTCCCTCCTCAGACTCTCTCTCGCCCAGTGACAGCCCATTGCAGAGCTCCAGCCTGTCAGCATTCTCTGCTCCCGGGACTGATGGGGTTAAGTTAAAGCGCCCTGCAGAGGTGACAGTGTGCTCAGCCTGTGTCCCAGCTGTCACCTCCCGCTCTGGTCTCCGGGCTGTCAGGGGTTAATCTAGGTGCAGTGCTACAAAGTAAAGAGTAAAGAGAAGAGGGATCAGGTAGCTGAGAGCTCACACAGCCCTCAGTGCAGCAACAGAGCCGGGACCCCCGGGGGCCACACTCTGCCTTATTCACCGCTAACTGAGGACAAGAGATCCCAGAGGACAGATCACAGGAGATCCCACAAAACTGATCGCAGAAGATCGCACAAAACTGATCGCAGAAGATCACAGAGAACTGTTCGCAGGAGATTGCACAGACCTGATCGCAGGAGATTGCACAGACCTGATCGCAGGAGATCGCACAGACCTGATCGCGGAGTCCCGAGCATTATCGATCACAGTCTGCAGATCTCAGGAGATCCGATCCCACTCCTCACAAGTTTCTAGAAGTGATTTACTTTTCAGTGGCATCTCCGATCTTCCCTTTGGAGGGAATTTGGATTTTTGCCCCGGATCTTGGTGTTTGGCAGATCGCTGGATGTGTTGTGGATCGCTGGTGACCCGGAGGGCTCTGGGTTTCAGGTGCCCCGGCAGTGTACATAGACGGAGGTCGGTGTGATTGCTAGCTCCTCGGCTCAGGACCATGCTGTGCCCACTCCGCTTCGCCCTCCTCCTGGCAGGTGCCCTCTGCTCGGCCGGCAGCCCCACTCCGGCCCCCGAGGGCCCCCAGGACACCTGCTCTTCATGCGGGCTCCGGCCCCCGGACGAGGAGGTGGCCCGGCTGGACCAGGACTTTCTGGAGGCTGTGAAGAGACACATCCTGATCCGGCTACAGATGAGGGACCGACCCAACATCACCCATGCCGTGCCCAAGGCTGCCATGGTCACAGCCCTGAGGAAGCTCCACTCCGGCCGGGTGAGGGAGGACGGGCGGCTGGAGATCCCCAACCTGGACGGGCAAGCCATGTCCAGCCCGGAGATACAGGAGATGGGCACCTCCGAGATCATCAGCTTCGCCGAGACAGGTGGGTGCCAGGGGGGCATCATATATACTCTGTGTGTATTTATATATGCAGGCATGATAGATAAAGGTGGGCATAATATATATGCACCGGGCATGAGATGTGTGTGGGCATGGGGCACCTGTGCAGAGACCAGAGAGGTCACCTGGCACTAGGTACATATATATAGTATACGTAGAGGGAGAGTAGCGGGTATGTGGGCATTCCATACAGGAAAGGGAAGAATACTGGGCATAATATAATGTGGGCAGAAGGCACCTGTGCGGGGAGGGCACCGGGCACTATATATTTATATGTGGGCATTGCATTGCGTGCAGGTGCACTCGGGCATTATATATACAGCTGGGCTTCGGAGGCATGGGACACAAGCGGGGAGGGCACCCGGCACTAAATGTATATTCGTATGTGGGCATTGTATTGCGTACAGGTGCAAGGAGTGCATTACATATAGGTGGGCATAAATATGTGTGTGTGCCCGACCATCGCATGTTGCTACAGGTGCATGAAGACACTGGACAGGAAACCAAGCTGATTATGTGTGTGAGCATAGGTTACTTAATACAGGTTACCTAATTGGGAAGGTTCCATGCACTTGTAGAAATCCTATACCTGTGCAGTGCTGGGACTGGGCATCACCCACACAATGCATTTTACAAAGCTCCGGTGGGTGCCGGGTATCACATTAATGTGCTGGGAGAGAAATGGGCATAGGACCTCAATTCGTATAGTGGGTATTATATAAAGGGGCACCGGAAGGACAATACAATGATATTATGTTAAGGGGCAGTGAGTGGATTCTCCAGTAAGGAGACTGGGGGGCAATGTGAGGACCGTAAGGAGACTGGGGGGCAATGTGAGGACCGTAAGGAGACTGGGGGGCAATGTGAGGACCGTAAGGAGACTGGGGGGCAATGTGAGGACCGTAAGGAGACTACTGGGGGGCAATGTGAGGACCGGGGGTTATATCAAGTGACAGTGAGGAGACTGGGGGGCAATGTGAGGACAGGGACCTGTTGTTATTTTTACCAGTACAGCTATACAGATCGGAGCCTGTGCTGGAATGAACCGGCAAATGGCAATGGGTACCAGATGCCACTTGTGGCTCTATAGCGGTGTGCACCAACACTGGGCACTCCTCGGACATTCCGCTCATAACATCCCTGATTCTTACAGAAATATGTATCAGCTTATTTATTTTTTTATCAGATAGCATTTTAGATCAGCTCAGTATGTGTCCAACCCCAAGGAGTAATACCTCTCTCTCTCTCTCTCTCTCTCTCTCTCTCTCTCTCCATATTACATAATGCCAATTAACATGTTCAGCTTATAAAAGTATCAACTGCCGCTTTTATTTGACCAGATTCGACTCTTCCCTTTCTTTCTTTCTTTCTTTCTCTCTCTCTCTCTCTCTCCCCTCTCTCTCTCTCTAAAAGTATTAACTGATGCGCTTTTATTCCACCAGATTTGACTCTTCCCTTTCTTTCTTTCTTTCTTTCTTTCTCTTCTCTCTCTTCTCTCTCTTCTCTCTCTCTCAAAGTATCAACTGACGCTTTTATTTCACCAGATCTGACTCTTTTCTCTCTTTCTTTCTCTTTCTTTCTTTCTTTCTTTCTTTCTTTCAAAACTCATTTGTGAAAATTTTGGCAGGGAGGTTGGCTGTGCTCAGCAGCGGATACTAATGAGTGATGGAAAAACAAGAACAGAAGTGCCAGTTATATAAGGAGCTTTTTTTTTAGTAATAAGGAAGCTGAAGGTGTAGAACTTTTTGTGCCCTTTTAATGTTTTCCTATTTTTAACCTTTTAAAAAAAAATACTTGTTTGTCATACACGTTCTTTTCTTGACATGGCCAGGGATTTCCTTCGGGTATCGGATATGTGGCTGTTCTTGAACAATGGCCAAGCACCATTAAGCCCCGAGGTGTATTTTTCTCCACTGCAAATTGGTTTTCACTGTCAGGGCATTGAGGAGCGGAAGCACCATTGGGATGGCTTGGACAATTGTTTGCTTCACACAAATTATTTCAGTGGCATCAGGTGTCAAGAGATTCAGATGGATGAAAAATTGTTAGGAAATCTCCATACGGCGACACCAAAGGTCCCTACGTATCATGTAACAATGTATCCCTGTTGTCACTAATACAAACAGAACGTTTCAATCTAAAGGCTGGAGCTTCTGGACTTTTTCTGCACACGTACGCACTCACTCGCCCTTATCGAAAACATCTCGAAGTTCATGTTTGTATAGTAAAGACTGGGATTAGTGCGCTAAATGCCTAAATATGTATTTATAATGCTATAAAACAACCTGACATCACTTTATTTCACCAAGTTGTTAAGCCTCTGATATTAAAGAAAGCTTTGTGTTATTAGTTTGGAGTTACAGGAGGTGAAACATCAACACTGTAAGCAAACCAAAGGAAACATTGTTATCTAAACACACAATAAAAGCAAAAACAAGAAACACAACAACTCCGGAGATATGTGTCACCAACGTTTTTCAGATAAAGATTATATATTCCAGGGAAATAAATATGTTTAGATGGTGAAGTTGGAATAGTTTGGTTCAGAGTTCAGTTTTTTCCTGGCTGAGGAGCTCCTAAAACAAGTGTGATTAAGTGCAGTGCTGAGGAACTTCATGTTCCAGGATAACCCGCTCAGGCATGCCGGGAACTGCAGGACTCAGCAGGTGGAGCGAATGATACATTTGACCATCATATCCTAAACAAGAGCTCTCCATTGTTCTCAGACCCCCAATTAAATCCAGACTTTTGTTCTTCAGTTGACATCTTCTAGTTCTTCTTTAGGACATGTTGATATATAAGGTTGACTTCCATCTTAGAAGTTGACCGCTTTGTTCCCGTGTCTGAAGTTCTTTCTCTTCTGTTTTGTCTCATTTTGTTTTTTTTCTTTTCTTCTACAGACGATGTAACAGCATCTCGAGTTCGACTCACCTTCACCATTTCAAACGAGGGCAACCAGAACCTGTTTGTCTTCCAGTCTAATCTGTGGCTTTACCTGAAGCTGCCCGAGGTCATCGAGAAACCGGGCAGGAGGAAAATCCGCATGAAGCTTCACTTCCAAGACCCGACCAACCCTGCCAAGATGGGCTTGGTGGAGAAGAGAGTGGACATCCGAAGAAGTGGTTGGCATACCTTCCCTCTGACCGAGACCATTCAGGCCCTCTTCGAAAAAGGAGAACGAAGGTTGAGCCTTGAGGTCCAGTGTGATGGCTGCGAGGAATCGTCTGTTAGTCCGGTGTATGTTGACCCAGGGGAAGAGTCCCATCGACCCTTTTTGGTTGTCCATGCCCGATTAGCCGACAATAAGCACCGGATCAGGAAAAGAGGTCTAGAGTGTGATGGCAGAACCAACCTCTGCTGTAGGCAGCAGTTTTATATTGACTTCAGACTTATTGGGTGGAATGACTGGATCATAGCGCCATCTGGTTACTATGGCAATTACTGTGAGGGAAGCTGCCCAGCCTACTTGGCAGGAGTCCCGGGTTCGGCCTCATCTTTTCATACGGCAGTGGTCAACCAGTACAGGATGAGGGGGCTCAACCCCGGGACGGTGAACTCTTGCTGTATTCCTACAAAACTGAGTACAATGTCCATGCTGTACTTTGACGATGAGTACAACATCGTCAAGAGGGACGTCCCTAATATGATTGTGGAGGAATGCGGGTGTGCATGATAACAATACCAGGACAATCTCCACTTCCCCCGATACCTCCCACAACGGGATGCCAAGATGCAGTAACGTTCGGAGGGCAGAGATTATTTCACAATTGAGCTCAGTTCCAGTCTGTGGACATCAAGTCCTCTTCTCAAGACATACAGTACGAGAACTGTCAGCGACCGCCACTCACGGAGGACCCACAGAACAATCCAGTGCCAGCAAGATTCTGGAAAAGGAACAAACAGGTTTCCACTCAACTTTTGAGGAGTCTTAACTGTTACCGGGGTGGAAAAAAAATAAATGCTGCGTTCCCGAGGTCCCACTTAAGTGACCAACTGAGGAACCAACTGGTGGATATTCCGCAAGGCTCTTACAGCACTTCCAGTGAGGAATGTAACTGAGCGAAGGGATTGGCTAAACTTGGTCTCCCCGAGTTATTTCAATGCTGTGCAAAGGACTGCAAGCCTAGAGACACCGCAAACCACAACAGACTCGTTGCCCGTGGCCCACAAGCCCACAGCGCAGCCTCAGAGCCTCGTCCAATAAGGCCTCCTACAACTTTTTTTTTTTTTTTCTACTGTGTGTACAAACGGGACTGTGTTATGTGATGCAGAATCTATTGTCTGGGAGAGAATCCGGCGTGAGGGGCTGAGGCAGCAGGTGCTAAAACTTACTGTAACCTGGCCATGCAAGGGTGGTTCGCTAATGGAGTCATTTTTATGGCCAATTTGTGTTTAAAATTGAGATTCTCAATATTTGGAGGTGGAAGTTCGGCCAAAACTTGGATAGGGTGCAGAAGGGTTGCAGCCTCCGGCATGTTTTTAGTGTTATCTGTGTCCATGTTGGGAAGATTTTCCCTGACCTGATGGAAAA